AGGATTGTTTACTATAATAAAAAAGGATTACACAGTAAAAATTGCTTTGCTTCTAGCACTTGCCAGCAACTGCTTGTCACCACTGAGGTCAGCCGAAGCTGCAGAAATAGGGATTAATGAGCTGTTTTTGTTGTTCTCTCTAGTGATGTAAACACCATTTTTCTCACTCTTTGGATCTAATTAGCCTCACTCCCCACTTCACTGCCCATAATTGGTGGCTGTTAGCTGTAGAAGTATNAGAAGTTTGCATGTGTGTGTCTGTGTGGTCACCGTTAGGGAACAAAAACAACAAAAGAACAGTAAGCGAACCATTTACTGGTGCCTGCAGGAAAGATAGAAAGCCAAAAGTCTACCTCACATAGACAGAGGCCCTTTTGTCTGTAAGTGTATGACAAAATTTCTATACCATGATAGGAATAAAAATAAAACCCAGCTGTACTTCTTTTAGACCACGGTCAACCATGCTCTGGCTTGTTCTTAAAACAGTATTTCTATGAGGTAAATTTTCCTTCTGACTCTTTGCTTTTTTTTATGGAGTTAAATAAGAATTTTAGACGTAGATAAACACTGACATTGAGAACTTATAGTTATCTCAGCCCGTTCCTCGTATTTTACATGTGAGAGAGTCAAGCCCTACAGAGACTAAGTGCCCTACCAAAGGCCACATCGCTTTTGAATAGATGTGGGACCAGCATATTTTCTGGTTCTTCCTACCACATTGCCTTTTGGCAGTAAGGCTGACTGTGTGTCGCAGCTGCATGAAGAAGTGGAGGAAGTTTATACAGGACCACAAGTCATAGTGATGACTTCCAGGAAGAAGGAAATGATGACGGACCAGAGACCAGTGGGGAGTCCAGGGTCAGAAGAATAAGAAAAAACAGAGACGGTGTTAAGTGGAGGTGGAGAGACAATGAATTTGAAGTCAGGAGACAGGTCTGAGCATCCGTTCTCTAGAAATGGGGGGCGAGGGCGAGGCCAGTGCTGCGCACCCACCGACTTGAGGCTCCCTGCTTGCCACGTCGTGTGGAATGGGAATAGCCTGAGATGTGCTTGGTGCTTGGCGAGCTTTATTTTTTTCCATTGTGGTAAAAGACACGTGACATAAAATTTACCATCTTAACGATTTTTAAGTGTACAGTAATACTAGGTGAACTTTTGATCATATTTGTGTCCTCTTCCTCTGTTCCACCAGCTTTGAAGTTTTTTTTCCTGTGTACAGAAACCATTCTCTTAATTGCAAGATAAATACTGAAATTGAGACCGCAACAGCTATTGCTCTGAAGTGAGCAGTTCATTTGACAACCCTCCCTCCTGTCCCCCCAGGCACCTGTCTACTTGGAGGATTGTTTACTATAATAACAAAAGGATTACACAGTGAAAATTGCTTTGCTTCTAGCACTTTCCAGCAATTGCTTGTCAACACTGCGGTCAGCCAAAGCTGCAGAAATAGGGATTAATGAGCTGTTTTTGTTGTTCTCTTTAGTGAT